GATATTACATTTAATATGTATTTCTCTCCGTTTCTCTCCTTATTTTAAAATTCTGATAGTAACTATAATTTTTCCAAGAGTTATCAAGTTTTAATCAGCAAAAACATATGTTTCAAGTTTGAACTTGCATAAATTTTAAAAAATCGCATACGACTTTAATGAAGCATTAATCACAGAAATAAATTTAGCATTTAAACTACACATTAAAGGCTATTCTTGCTCTTAAGTGCAGGCAACTTCAATTATTTCTCATGAACATCCTTTGTGTATTAGTCAGTACACAGAAAATAGGACAGTTTGGTTCTCACTTACCTGCTGGCATAGAAATTTAAAGGCATGCATGCATTCTGTAGGAGCAGGGAATCTTCATTTCACTCACCAAGGTGCAATGTGAGACCCAGAGGCCAACATTAGCTTTTGTTTGTAAGAAATAAGAGAGCCACGCTGGATGTGTGCCTCTGGAGTCAGCACAGCTCAATCACCATCACTTGTCTGTGTGTACCATGAGCTCCAACCACATGGCATTTCTGAACGGTCCCCTAAGAATTTATGAGATGCCTTGGTGCTTTTGCACATGCTGTTCCTTCTACTTGGAATGACCCCCATCCCACTCCCCAAAAATGTCTCCTCACCCATCAAGACCCCAGTCCCACTGCTCACCATGTGGGAAGTCTTCCCTCGGTATGTTGCAGCACCTGTCCGTGCCTTGATTAGAATATCTATTTCGTTGTATTGTCTCCTTCCACCAGTCTGAGAGGTCTTACCTATCAATCATTCCGCATCCTTTCAGGGGCTTCTATTTCTACTACAGTGTAGTAGATACTTAGTAACATTTCTTAAATGAATAATCAGTCATAAGAACTTCACCTGGATTTCCCCGTTAAGAGTTTTCACCAATCCTTCAGACTTATTCTCCAGAAGCTGTAGTTGATGATTAGCTGGAAAGACCAAACTAAGCTTTTTGATAACTGCCTTTGACCTTATCACCCCAAGCTATAGATTTAAACTTTATTTTTCCTCTGAAGGGGAGGGATTATACTGATCACTTTGAGGATCTCATATAAGCTGTGAATACTCTCTTCAGAATTTACTCACACCCATCTACACACAGAACTGATCAGTATCAGGCTCTCAGGGCAGAGGACCTGCTTCAAATTCTGGTTCTGCCATTTGCCAGCTATGAGACCTTAGGAAAATTACTTAATTTTGCCGTGCCTTGTTCTGCCTTCTTTAAATGGGAATAATAATAGTATATATCCCACAGGGTTGTTGTGAGGATTAAGTGAGTTAATTATAAAATGTCTACACGTGCAATAATAAGCCCTAGATAAGCCTTATATACCTGATTATTAGTAGGTTCCAGGAACTGTAGGTGCTAAGAAAAATTGGATATGATTCCTTCCTTTGAGGAACTCCCACTCTCACAGGGAAGACAGATGTGCAAACAAAAGGCAGTATGGTAGAGGTCTGGACAAAGGGGCAGAGAGAAGAGAGCTCTTTCCTCCTGAGGCCGGGGGGTGGGTGGGGGGTTAAGGAGTAGCCCACATGGGAGGTGTATTTTAGCTGAGTCTTGATGGATGAACAGGAGTTGCTAGCTGCATTAGTTGGGAATGTACACTCTAGGCAGATATAAGCGAGGACGTCTATGCGGCCATATGAAAGCACGAGAGGCGGGGTACAGTAGCTATCGAGAGTGGCCTTCACACGATGTCTGAGGTGCAAGGTACTGAGGCATAGAGCTGAAGCACACTGCACACACTGCAAGTTGTTTTACTCAACACAACACGTTCAGCCCCTTTCTCCCCTGCCCTCTCTACTATAGAGTTAGGGAATTGAAGCACCAAATTTGCCAAACAGGCGAGGTCCTGTGACAGGTAATGGAGCTTTTTCTGGGAAGTGCTTCTCTTAAGGAATAAAGATGCAAAATCTTAAAAGGAGAAAACTTTTTGCCTTTTTCCTTTCTTTCTACCTGGTTCTTGAGTTTGACAGTTTTAAGACAGGAGGTTGAAAGCATCTGCTAACAGTGCAGTGAGAAGACCCAGGGATCCTGAGTCCATGATGACTGTACTCAGTAGCTGCACTGCCGGGACCACCTCCCTCTGGACTTCTTGTTTGTGAGAAATGTCACAGCTGGCCCCGCTTCCTCTAGTTTAGAGCCAAATGCGTCCATACCTGACACAAGTGGTAAGTGATGCTGCTTCACCAAAGTTCTGGAATGCTTTACATTGGGGGCATGGTTTCCCCATGGAAACTAGGCCCTATAGTGTACTTTAGGGGTTGAACGTACAGATTTGCATTTTTTGCACTACTGGTGGGAATGCAGGCTGGTGCAGCCACCCTGGAAAACAGTATGGAGGTTTGTCAAAAAATTAAAAATAGAACTACCCTAACAACCCAGCAACTGCACTACTCGGTATTTATCCAAAGGATACAGGTGTGCTGTTTTGAAGGGGCACATGCACCCCAATGTTTATAGCAGCGCTATCGACAATAGCCAAAGTATGGAAAGAGCCTGAATGTCCATTGATGGATGAATGAATAAAGAAGATTTGGTATATATATATATATATATATATATATATATATAAATGGAGTATTATTCAGCAATCCAAAAGAATGAAATCTTGCCATTTGCAACTACATGGATGGAACTGGATGGTACTATGCTAAGTGAAATTAGTCAGAGAAAGACAAATATTATATGAGTTCATTCATATGAGGGATTTAAGATACAAAACTGATGAACATAAGGGAAAGGAAGCAAAATAATATACAAACAGGGAGGGGGACAAAACAAAAGAGACTCTTAAATATTGAGAACAAACAGGGGCGCCTGGGTGGCTCAGTCGGTTAAGCATCCGACTTCAGCTCAGGTCATGATCTCATGGTTCATGGGTTCGAGCCCCACGTCAGGCTCTGTGCTGACAGCTCAGAGCCTGGAGCCTGTTTCAGATTCGGTGTCTCCCTCTCCCTCTGTCCCTCCTCTGCTCGTACTCTGTGCGTCTCTCTCTCTCTCAAAAAATAAACATTAAGAAAAAAAAATATTGAGAACAAACAGAGGGCTGCTGGAGGGGTCGTGGGAAGGGGGATGGGCTATGTGGGGGAGGGGCATTAAGGAGGGCACTTGCTGGGATAAGCACCGGGTGTTAGAGGATGAATCACTGGAATCTACTCCTGAAATCATTGTTGCACTATATGCTAACTAACTTGGATGTAAATTTAAAAATAAATAAATAAAATTATATTAAAAAAAGAAAGTACAGATTTGCAATCAAGTTACCTGATGTTTAACTTGAAAAATCAGTTATCCTCAATCTGAGCCTCATCAGGGAGACATGTTTTAGACCAATTTTAGAACACCAACTTTAACCACAGCACACTGGATAGAGGACAGGAGGTCAAGAGCAGGGGACTTGCAAGAGTTTGCCAGGATCCTTCCAGAGAGAAGTAAATCTTAACTAAAGACCCAAAAATAATTGCAGAACTTAAAGTAGATTCTAGTTGACATTTTAAAATAAGAAAACATTCTGATGGTGCTGGAGTTTTGAAATGTTCTTTGAGACTTATAATACCTTTATGACTAAATGTTTTAGAACAAGTTGCTCTGAAGTTCTTCAGAAGAGAGAATGCTTTTTTTTTTTTTCATGTACTATAAATTCCTATGGCATCTTGCATTATCCCCAGGAATGCAGCGAAGAGACCAGAAATAATTGGTGAGAATAGCCTGGACTAAAGGAACAAATAATTTAAGATTCATTATTCCATGCTACCGGTTCTCTCAGTGCTTTAGGACCTGTTGATAACCAAAGTCACAGGAAGTTTAAATATAATTCCATTTCCTTTACGTTGCTCTAACTTCAAAGCTGTAATGTTGCTCTTCTGTAAGGACTGGGTCAGGATTAATGAAGCCTAGGAAGTAGGTGGTATAATTGAAGAGAATGAAAAAGCGTCGCCTCCAAATATCTAAAACACTTTTTTGCTCAAGGATGCTTGAACGGTCTACATCAGAGATGATCTGCTCAGAAGAATAAACGAAGGAATCCTGTCCGAAGCAAGTGGCTTGGGAGGGAGTGGCAAATTTCCATCAGTAACAAACTGATGAAAGTAATCTGAGGCTCAGAATGAGGATGACAGATTTCTTAAATCTACACACCTAGCAAGTGGTCACGCTGCGATTTGAACCACGGTTTGGGTGGCTGCAAAGTTGTGCTTTTAACCCCTACGTTATACGGTAGCAGTCATACCCTCAAGCTAAAGCATGTGAGCTAGGCTGCCAGATGGGTTGTGACAACTTTCCGCTAGTTCTCTAGGAGGGGACTTAGTCACTGGGAAACCGAGCCTGACATACATGTGGCTTTGCTGAGGAACCTCCACACTCCTGGCTAGCAGAGGACACATTTGGGAGTGGAGACGGGCCTTCATGAGACCAAACCAACTGTCAACCCTCCAGCAAGTTGCCTAGTACCATGCAGACCGGGACGATGGGTTGCATAATTAGGTTTCATGTCTATTTAAATCAAACAATAGGTAAATCCCAAGGATATTTTAGGGCTTATCTGTTTACCTGTCCCAGGAACCTGACACTTTTAGAATCTCTGGAACTGGTCTAGAGGGACTCATTTAAAATTTGGCACGCTTGCCTAAGGACCGCACGCGTTGGCGGGGTGTGAGAGTGCTCAAATCAAAATTCTTCTCTTCTTTCTCCCCACACAGAGGCGGATAGAGGCTGTCTTGCTTTCAGATGCAGGTCCTGAGTCAGAAGAAGAAGCTATTACAGGGCTACTGAGTGTAGGTGCAACAAACAGTTTCCTGGTACTGCCTTGAGGGCCTCTGTCAAGATCCCAGAGTTACAACCCACAGAGAGCACAGCTTCCTTCCCAGACCAGAGAGCCGTGAAACAGAGCAGCAGTTTGGGGCTCCAAGGAAGGAGGGGATCACATGTAGGCTGCTTTCTGGTCAGTTGGTCACTGAGGCTTCTTCTTGGGGCCCACAACACTCACCTCAGCCTGCCAGATGGGGTTCACGGTGTTGCCTATGATCTTGGATCTCCTCTCCTGTCCATGGTGTGGGAGGGCAGGGAAGATGCTGTGCTTTCCAGGCTGAATGGAAATCTTCAGGTAAGGGTCTGGGTTAAAAAACATCCCTTTCTTCAACCCCATGGCCTGGAAATCTATAAAGTAAGGAATATTTTAAGTTAAATATGCTTCAGTGAGTTGAAAGATCCTATCAGGGCTTACACAAGGAGTGAAGCTCAGTCAAAACATAGAAAAATCTTTTCAGTCTTTAGACTATTTTCCACCTCATTATGCATATGGACTGGTATGTCTACAGAACCCATTATATGGAATATTTACTGGCATGTATAAAACCGTTCCTTAAAATAAATCAACTCAACTGGCATTGTGGTCACAATGCGTTTTGAGAGAGGACCGTTAGCTTTTTTTTTTTTTTTAACGTTTTATTCATTTCTAGGAGAGAGAGAGAGACAGCGTGAGCAGGGGAGGGTCAGAGAGAGAGGGAGTCACAGACTGAAACAGGCTCCAGGCTCTGAGCTGGCAGTCAGCACAGAGCCCGACGCGGGGCTCGAACCCACGAACCGCGAGATCATGACCTAAGCGAAAGTCGGATGCTCAACTGACTAAGCCACCCAGGCGCCCCGAGGACCGTTAGCTTTTAATGGACTGGATTGCTGGCATTCCTCAGGCAAGCTGGGGTGAGGGCCTGAGGTCACCTCAGGAAACTTGGTCTGGGTACTGAGGGAGGAAATCCAACTTTGAAAACTCTATGGGCCTAGGTGAAAATTCCTGTGCAAAGTGGAGTTAGAAGAAAAGCAAGGGCTGTAGTTTCACAATGAATACAGTATTTCTACCAGCCTTTGTCTGCATGGTAGAACCAAAATGGGAACGGATTAACAGAGAATTTCTCTCCGTCCCCAGCTCCGCGCTGCCCATCCTGCATGGCATCCCTCTTGGGCTTCAGGATTTCACGGAACTTTGGTTAGTGAAATCTCCTCTTGGTTTCTGCAAGGCAGTCAAATAGCTTTCTATGCCCCCGCTGTTTCTACAGGTTTGCACAAATAATTGTTATTTCTCAAGCATTTCAACAGGAACATAAGAATGGCAAATCAGAAGCTGTTGGCTTTCCGCCCTAGTAACACAAAAGTATTGCGTTTCTTCTTCCTTTTTCTTTTAACTTTGACAGACACATGCTAAGGTCAACTGATATATATATATATATATTTTTTAATGAAAAAGATGACTTTATCTTGAGGGGGGAGTTATAGGTTCACAGCAAAATAAGCAGAAGAACAGATTTTTCCACATGCCCCTTGCATCACACATGCAGAGCCTCTCCGTTATCAACATCTTCTAGCAGAGGGGAGCATTTGTTACAGCTGGCTAATCTACACTGGCACATCATTATCACCCAAAGTTCGTAGTTTACATCAGCATTCACTATTGATGGTGTGCATTCTATGGGTTTTGACAAATGTATTCATTATTAGAGTATCGTAGAGAATATTTCCACTGTCCTAAAAATCCTCTCTACTTCATCTCCTCTATCTTCTCCCAGACGCTGGCAACCACTGATCTCCTTACCGACTGCACAGTTCTGTTTGCCCTTTCCATAATATAGTTGGAATCATACAGTATGTAGCCTTTTCAGACTGGCTTTTTTAAACTTAGTAATATGCATTTAAGATTCTTCTGGGGCACCTGGGTGGCTCAGTTGGTTAAGCGTCCGACTTCGGCTAACACCATGATCTCACGGTTGGTGGGTTCAAGCCTGCGTCAGGCTCTGTGCTGACTGCCAGCTCAGAGCCTGGAGCTTGTTTCAGATTCTGTATCTCCCTCTCTCTCTGACCCTCCCCTACTCATGCTGTCTCTCTCTCTCTCTCAGAAATGAAAAATATTTGGGGCGCCTGGGTGGCTTAGTCGGTTAAGCGTCCGACTTTCGCTTGGGTCATGATCTTGCGGTTCGTGGGTTCGAGCCCCGCGTCAGGCTCTGTGCTGACTGCCAGCTCAGAGCCTGGAGCCTGTTTCAGTCTGTGACTCCCTCTCTCTCTGACCCTCCTCTGCTCACGCTGTCTCTCTCTCTCTCCTAAAAATAAATAAAACATTAAAAAAAAAAGAAATAAAAAATATTTTAAAAAAAAGATTCTTCTCTTTGTCTCATTTGACAGCTCATTTCCTTTTAGCAATGGACACCTATCCATTATCTTCATGTGCTACAGTTTATTTATCCTTTCTTCAACTGAAGGGCATCTTGGTTATTTCTAAGTTTTGGCAATTAGGAATAAAGCTGCTATAAACATATGCATATAAGTTTTGTACAGATTTAAGTTTTTAATTTATTTGGGTAAATACCAAGGAGTGCAATCACTGGATCGTATGGTAAGAGTGTGTTTAGCTTTGTAACAGATCACCAAACTGTCTTTCAAAGTGGCTGTGCCATTTTGCATTCCCACCAGCAATCAGTGCTCTCATTGTTCTACATCCTTGTCAACAGTTGGTGTTGTCGGTGTTCTGGATTTTGGCCATTCTAATCGGTGTGTAGTGGTGTCTTACTGTTTTCATTTTCATTTCCCTGATGATATATGATGTGAAGCATCTTCTCATATGATTATTTGTCATCTTATATCTTCTTTGGTGAGATGTCTGCTAAGATCTTTGGCCCATTCTTTTTAATTGGGTTGTATGTTTTCATATTGAAATTTTTTAACATTTATTTATTTATTTAATAGTTTACTGTCAAGTTGGTTTCCATATAACACCCAGTGCTCATCCCCACAAATGCCCTCCTGCATGCCCATCACCCCCATCCCCCTCCCCCCAAGAGTTCTTTGTATATTTATAATAGCGTTCCTTTAACAAATGTATTTTGCAAATAATTTTTCCCAGCGTAGTGTAGTTTTTCTCAGTCTCTTGACATTGTCTTTCACAGTACAAAAGTTTTTAATTCTAATCAGGTCCATCCTTTTATCAATCATTTCTTTCAGGCACCACATCTTCGATATTGTATCTAAAAAGTCATTGCCATACCCAAAGTCATCTAGGTTTTCTCCTGTTACCTTCTAGGAGTTTTATAGCTCTGCATTTTACACATAGGTCTGATCCATTTTTGAGTGATTCTTTAAAATTGAGATATAATTGACATATAACATTATATTTAGTTTCAGGTATACAACATAATGATTCATATATTTGTATTGTATTTGGATATAATGCAAAATGACAAATAAGTCTAGTTAATAGCTATCACCACACATTGTTATAACTTCCAATGAAAACTTTGATAACTACTCTCAGCAATTTTCAGGTATATAATACAGTATTATTAACTATAGTTAGCATGCTGTACATTACATCCACATTACTTATTTGTTTTATATTGGAAGCTCCTATCTTTCAACCACCTTCACCCATTTTTCCCGGTTCTCACCTCACCTCTGGCAACCCCCCATCTGTTCTATCTATGAGCTTGGTGGGGGTTTTTTTTGTTTGTTTATTTTTTCCAGATTCCACATATAAGTGAGATCATATGGTATTTGTCTTCCTCTATCTGACTTCTTTCACTTAGCATAATATGCTCTAGCTCCATCAATGTTGTCACAAATAGCAAGATTTCATTCTTTTTTATGACTGAATATCATTGTATTGCATATATATTGAAGCATTATTTATAATAGCCAAGACATATATATACATATTTATTTATGGGGGTGTATATATCTTTCTGAGTTCATCTTTTCATTTTCTTTGGCTAAACACCCAGAAGTGGAATCCTAGATCCTGCGATAGTTCTTTGATAGTTTTACTTTTAATTTTTTGAGGAAACTCCATAGTGTTTTCCATAATGGCTGTATGAATTTACATCTCCCCCAACAGTGCATGAGGGTTTCCCTTTTCTCTACATCCTTGCTAATACTTATTCCCTCTTGTATGTTTGATACTAGGCATTCTAACAGGTGTGAAGTGATATCCCATTGTAGTTTTGATTTTTTGCATTTCACTACTGATGAATGATGTTGAACATCTTTTTATGTACTTGTTGGTCATCTGTATGTCTTCTTCGGGGAAATGTCTATTCGGATCTTCTGCACATTCTTTAGTCAGATTTTTTTTTTTTTTGCTGAATTGCATGAGTTCTTTATACATTTAGGACATTAGACCTTCTTCAGAGATAAAATTTGCAATTATTTTCTCTCACTTCTTTTAATTTTGTTGACAGTTTTCTTTGCTGTGCAGCAGCTTTTTAGTTCGATATGGTCCCATTTATTTTTGTGTTTGCTACCTTTGCTTTTGATGTTAAATCCAAAAAATATCATCACCAAGATTGATGTCAAGGAGTTTACTGCCTATGTTTTCTTCTAGGAGTGTAATGATTTCAGGTTTTATGTTCAAATCCTTAATGCATTTTGAGTTATTTTTGTGTATGGTGTAAGATAGTGGCCTACTTTCATTCTTTTGCATGTGGCTGTCCAGTTTTCTCAGCACTATTTATTGAACAGATTGTCCTTTCCCCATTGTATATTCTTGGTTCCTTTGCTGTAAATTAATTGACCATAAAAATGCATGTTTATTTCTGGACTCTCTATTCTGTTCCTTTGATCTATGTGTCTTGTTTTTATGTGAATACCATACTGTTTGGACTGCTCTAGTTTTGTAATATAGTTTGAAATCAGGAATCATGATTCCTCCAACTTTGTTCTTCTTTCTTAAGACTGCTTTGGTTATTTGGGGTCTTTTGTGGTCCCATACAAATTTTAGAATTCTTTATTTTATTTCTGTGAAAAATGCCATTGGAATATTGATAGAGATTGCATTGAATGTGTAGATTGCTTTAGATAGTATGGGCACTTTAACTATATTATTCTTCTCATCTATGAGCATGGGCTATCTTCCCATTTGTTTGTGTCTTCTTCAGTTTCTTTCATCAATGTTTTCTTATTTTCAGCAGACAGGTCTTTCACCTCCTCAGTTACATTTATTTCTGGGTATTTCAGTCTTTTTGATGCAATTGTAAATAGGATTGTTTTCTTAATTTCTTTTTCTGACAGTTCATTATTAGTATAGAAACACAGCAAATTTTTGTATTTTGATTTTGTATCCTGCAACCTTTACTGAATTTGTTAATTCTAACAGTTTTTTAGTGGGGGGAGTTAATTTTTGCGAAGGGTGTAAGTTCTGGATATAGATGGGTTTTTTTTTTTCATGTGGATGCCCAGTAGTTTTAGCATCATTTGCTCAAAAGACTGTCTTTGCACCATTTTATCACTATTGCTCCTTTGTCACTGTTCAGTTGACTAAATTTACGTGGATCTATTTCTGGGTATTCTATTCTGTTCCATTGATCTATTGTTTTTGTTTGTTTGTTTGCTTTTTGCTTGTTGTTGTTGTTCTTTCACCAATACCATGCTGTGTTGGATACCATAGCTGTGGTAAGTCTTGAAGTTGAGTAAGTCAGTTCTCCAGCTTTATCTGCTCCTTCAGTATTGTGTTGGCTATTCTGGGTCTTTTGCTTTTTTCTATAAGTTTGAGAGTCATTTTATCAATATCCACAAAATGATTTGCTGGGGTTTTAATTGGGATTGCATTGATTCTATAGAAAAATGGAAATTTTGACAACACTGAGTCTTGTAATCAACACAGAGTGTCTTCCATTCATTTAGTTCTTTTTTAATTTCATTCATCAGAGTTTTGTAGTTTTCCTTATATAGACCTTGTACAGATTTTATTAGGTTTATACCTAAGTATTTCATTTGGGGAGGTGCGCATATAAAAAGGTACTGTGTATTTCATTTTAAATTCCACTTGTTATTGCTGGTATATAGGAAAGCAACGGACTTTTCTGTATTAACCTTGCACCCCGCAACCTTGCTATAATTGTTTATCAATGTATCTTTAGAAATGCATTTTCTTTACCGGGGTTCACATAGACATAAAAATGCCAGTTGACTGTCTATCTCCCAAGAACAGTCATCATTTCTGTGGTCTTAGATCTCTGACATTCATGGTCTGTAACACTTCTTGGTTTGACAACAAGCTAAGGAGTACTTTCCAAACTGTGTTCAATAGAGTCCTAGAGCTTCATGCCATTGTGTCTCCTCAAAGACCCCTTCCACCTTAGGGTGGAACTCAGTGTGTAGGGCTCTGAGCTTTGTATATCATTTTAGGCAGAGTAACTCAGTTTTTCTTTATGCTTTTAATTTTGAAATTATTCTAGATTTACAGAAGAGTTGCAGAGGTAGTACGAAGATTTCCCACATACGTTTTACCCAGTTTGTCCCATTGTTAACATACTATAGAACTATGGTACGTCATGAAAATTGATAAATTAGATTACTCAAATGAACACTATTAATTGAGTTACATACTTTATTTGGATTTCACTGGCTTTTCCACAAACATACTTTTTTGAGCAGTTTGGTTTTTTATCTGTTTTATCAACTGAACTTCATGTGAGATTTTATTTAGACAAAGGGGCTGCATTTTCCCCCAGGCCTTCCCCTACCTCCACTTTATAAACTCTCAATTAATTCTATTGATGATGGAGGCAAAGTGGAATTGCACCTTCTCTTCTCATCATCTCAAAGTGCTGTAGCATCTATTACTTATTGACTCCTTCAATATCCTCATGAGGTCAAGGAAGATGGAACAGATATTTTAAATTTTTGTTTTATAGACGGAAAAACTGAGGCACACAGAGGAGAGAAATTGTAGATAACAGTCAAATGGAAGTAGGTGTGCTGACTGCTGGTTGACCTTCTTATTTTCTCCACAAGGCTTTCAGGTGAGCAAAACATACCTGAGAGAGAAAAGCTGATCAGCCTCCGACTTCCTTGCCCTTGGACGGTCTCATCAGAGCCAATGCTTTTAAAAATCTGTAAGAAGGAAAATGGGAGACAAGCAAAACAAGCATTGAAATGGATACTCACACTGTAATACAAACACACTTAGTCACAGTATTTCTCCAGTTACAGTCTACAAGGGCAGCAGCGTTGTGATTTTATTAGGTTACTATTGATTAAGACAAGCTTCTCACAATCTAATGTCTTTCCCAGTAATAGAGAATCTGCTAGTGGGGATGAGGAGTATTTTTCAGGGTAATGGAAATCAACAAACACAATTACTGTAATATTAGAGGCTCTTTGTAACTACTTATGTAAACAACATCTTTTCACATTCAAATTTGCAAAAAGGATTTATTAAAGCCTACCCTAAGGCAATAGAATGATAGGTCAATAGATATTTACTGTTGTAATTACAATGTGTTTCCACTTAGCAAAGTATAGTGTTAAACTGCTGTATCTCCATTTCTTCTGATCTGTATTATTATCTAGGGATTTCCAGGAAATTCTGTTTATTAGGGAGGAGCCTGAGCATAGCATTAAGAAACTACTCTGAGATCTCTCCTATTTAATTGCCATCCTGGGAAATTTCCGAACATAACTGTTACATGGCTTATCTGTAGTCTAGTAGGTATTTGCAAACCAGGTTGTTAAAATGTTTTCTTTTCCATCATTGCTGAGTATATATCTGCTAACTTATTAATCAGAGAAACTAGAGACCTTGATTCCCTTTTCTCCTAGGAATGTTTTACTCAGAAATGATTCTGAATATTTATTCAAAGGCAGAGTTACTGCTTAATACATTGCACTTGCAGGAAATAATTTTTAAAATCTGAGTTTCAAGCAAATCCATAGAGTATCCACTTTTTAGAAGATAATCTGTACTGATGAAGGAAAAAATGGAAAACTCGATAACCTCTAGCTCAAAGTCTCTTTGTTGTAGGTTGTGTGAGCTCTTCTCTCTCTTATTTCTACTACCTCTCAGTATTCCTGATGATGTAAGAGTGTGTTTGGATGTCACCATCAACCTGCCTTTATGAGACTTGAGTGTAATGATTGAGCATCTCTAGGCTCACAGCTTTGGGCCAGGAGAGTACAAAGGAATTATTAAAATTCCTCCTCACTTTGAAGCTGGTGCCCCTGGTGTGCCTATGTGCTTGGCTGTAGCTTGTGTGCAAATCTCCTCAGTATGCCTGCTTTCAGAGCTAAGTGCAAGGTGCATGTCAGGGATGCTGGGCTGCTCAGCAGAGAGAACCAATGTCAGTGGCATATGGAATGAATCTTGGCATCAAGTGAGATGAGACAGGTCTATGCCTCTAAGAGTTTCATTTGACAATAAAGAATCAGAGTCAGGCATGGCAGGGATTCATGGGTTGGGAATGTGAGGTGGTCCCAAGGCATTATCTCCCTTCAATTTGGAGAGCGTGATCCTTCCTACGATGGATCTGTTTTTCTCTTCACCTGGTTAACACAGAGCAATTGAGGTCAAAAAAACAGCTCAGAAACTGTATCCTCAAGCTGGACCACTCTCCTAACTTTTGAAGTGGCCAATATACATAGGCATAAATCAAAATTCCTTAATGTTGTAAATTTTGCTTCTTTGTCAAGCCTATGCCCGGACGAAGGCCACAGCAGCTCTCTGCTGGCTGGCCACAGCCCTTATGCTGCTGCACTTGCCTAAGTAGGACAATGACAATCAATGTCCTAATTCTAGTTTAAAGATGTCAACATTTGGGGCGCCTGGGTGACTTGGTTAAGTGTCGTTCAGCTCAGATCATGATCTCACAGTTTGTGAGTCTGAGCCCTGCGTCAGGTTCTGTGTCTCTCTGCTCCTCCCCCACTCACACTCTGTCTCTCTGTCTCTCTGTCTCACTCTCTCAAAAATAAGCGTTAAAATAAAAAAAAAAAATAAAGATGTCAACATCTAGCTTGTCTCCTCAGAATATAAGTTCCTTGAAGACACAACAAAAACTACTTTTGATAGAGCCTTGTAGAATTATAAGTCTAAAGTATGTGCATTCCAATTTTAAAAAGTGTACGATAAAACTACACGTTACATATGAGGCTAACACGAGCTTAAACGTGCAATATAATAGCAAAGGATAGTGTATTTGTTCCTTCCTGTTTATTTATTTAAAAAATTTTTAATGTTTTTTAAGAATTTATTTCTGAGAGAGAGAGAGAGAGACAGTGTGAGCAGGGGAGAGTCAGAGAGAGAAAGAGACACAGAATCCAAAGCAGGCTCCAGGCTCTGAGCTGTCAGCACAGAGCCCGACGCGGGGCTCGAACCCACGAACTGTGAGATCATGACCTGAGCTGAAGTCGAACGCTTAACTGACTGAGCCACCCAGGCGCCCCCTGTTCCTTCCTGTTTAAAGCATACACATTTTGGTTCTTCATATTTAAATATTCCTCTGCTGGCTATTCAAGATATTTATAAGTAATCAGAAAACAGGTCTGTAGACAAAAAGAAATATACATTTTTCAGAAGCTACTAAGCTCAAAGGGGAGACACACATTTAAAACTCCATAGAAGTCTACTTAACTCATGGCCTTTTGCTAACATTATTTACAAAGGCATTTTGGTACCAGATGGATGATCTGAACTTGGAGGCAAGGTAGCCGTGAGAAACATTTTCCAGAAGTAAAACTGTTTGCCTGTCTCAGGAAGGTTCTGCATCCTGACTTCTTGTTTGAGATGAGTTTCAGGGGCATGTTTGAGGTTAAAAAGTCTGTTGCACTTACAGACTACCATTTACTGACTGTGAAAATGGTGTGAAGACTCAGCCAAAGAGCTCACTCTGGAATAACCTGAGGTGATGGAGGTGCATTAAGGAATTGCTCATCTTCTCAGATCTGCACATTCCACGAGTCCCCTTTGCTCTTCCTCGCTGTTACTCTAACCACTGGTTGCTGAGTCCTGACGCCCCCTCTCAGATGCAGCCTTGGCAGCTTCACTCTTTGTTTTGCATGCAAATGTTTCCACAGCAAAGCCTCTCTGGCAAATGGTTTAACAGATCCAAAGCCACGTTGCCGGTGGTGTGCGGGAGACTCCGTAGGTACTGAGAAGGCCCTTCGAGTTGAATGAAGGGCTCTGGGGTTAAATCTGATATACCTCTCCTACTCCCATTCTTGTTTTCTCTTCAGGTCTGCTGTTTGCAAGGTTCTACGTATGAATCCACACCACTGTTGCACACTCCCAGAATGCAATTCAGCAAAAAATGGAGTGACGATCAGGCCTCTCTACCCCGGCCAGGGAACTGCTGCTTCAACAGTATGAAGACGTGTAGCTCCGACGACTTGGCGCCCTCCGTCTTAACTCTACATGTTCTTCAAATTCTACCTTTTCCTTTCCTGGTACCACCTCACGAAGAAGAGGCTGTTTGCTGGAAATGCACAAGTGTCTCACACGTTTGATCATGTAAGCATGCTGACCCATATCCTCCACCTCCCAGTCTCCGAGGACACGGTGGCTTCTCGGGCAGGTGCGTGCTCATTCCCAGAGCTGGGCAGGTGTGCCTGTCTTGGAGCATCCACTGTATTCAAAATTTAGGGTAAAACTAATTTAGAAACCAACACGAAGCGATTTAAGGTTGAATGCAAATTATGTGTGCATTTTGGAGGTAAAACAGGAGTTTTCAAAGAACTTCCTTGCACATGAAAGGCGACTTCGAGTTGCTTCTCTGAAGGTGCCAGACCTTGCTTTTCTTCCTCAGGTAAGAGCTGGAAAAGCCCCATGTAGCACCCCGGCACTCCCAACAGGGGTGTGGCCACGTTATGCTCAATTCTGACACATTAACTCCACTTATATACCCACAATTATTCTTAAATAATTGTAGAATGATTCTTCCCCCTAAAAATGCTGACAAGGTTTGTGTTTAGTTTCAGAACAATTAAATCGACAATGACGCCGGAAATTGAATTTCATGCCTTCAATGAACCTTTATTCATTCACCTGACCCAGATAACTCTGATTTTTCTACAAATGAAAAGTGCAGGGCTCCATGCCTGATAATGTGAATCTAAAAATCAGGTGCCAACTAACCCTGCATTACAAGTAATAAAATATCCAAGCCATGGCGTATCAGCACCCAAGATCAGGGAGTTACAGGTTCCATTTTAGATCAGAGATCAGTGGTTCCCACACAGTTCAAGATCTTTTGCCTCCAAGAGAAAGTCTAGTGAATAATCTAATATGTCTCCAAGGCACCTTAAAAAAACACAGGTATCAAACAAATCCAAGTCCCAGGTTCCATTTCTACCTCTAGATCTCTGAAATGTTCAGACGCACAAAGAGAAAACAACGAAACACACACTACAAATGTTTATAGAGCACTTTTGGGTACATTTGCTTCACTGAATCCTCATGATTATTAGGTGGTTAGGCAACTCATTCCAAGTTCTCCATCAGCAAGGCCTACACACCTCAAGTGCAAAGTCATCTTTAGGGGCGTAAGAGAATAAAACATAAGACTAACAGTCAACCACATCCCAGGCAATTTCCCCAACCTCAGGGACACATGTGATGGAAGATTCACAAGGCCCATCGAAGGGGCAAGAGAAGAGAAACAGGGACGGAACCCGATTATGTGCCAAAGCACAGAGCCAGTTCTTCTAGACAAACTCTTAAAAGTTTGCAAATTAAGCATCATTCACTCCCCACCAGCTCACAAATGTGAAAGCTGAGCTCAGAACAATTTGTTGACTTTCCCAAATTCACCTGGGACGAATCTATCTCTGGTCCCTCTGACTTGAATAGAATGAATTACAGAACCTGCCATAGAGTCTGTCAACCCTGTGAGGCTGTTTCTTCAGACCCAGCCTGGCTGCTCAGCTCTTGTTTGCTCATAGTCTATTCATATGTTAGTCTGATTCTGCCTGCTTCTCTCTGCTTTCTGATGCTGCTGTCACCAAGCCAGCCTCGAGTCCTCACTGCTTCTACTCTTGCCTTGATGGCAAGATAGGAGCTTCCCAATTGCAGGGCTCTTCCATTCATCACTGTGGGCAAAAGAGAAGGGCTGGAAAAATGAAGCATTCCTCTTAGTTTTCATTGTGTGGATTGGACAAAACATGTTTATTATGTAGGGGTGCTCTGACGGCTTTCAGCAACACCGGATTGCAGATATTAGCACCAGGGGCAAATCTGTGGGGGGCGGTGGAGGGGCTGCTGTGTGTGAGAGGCTAAGCATTTGGCTAAGAAGAAAGTGAGGAGACTGTGTAAGAAGCGCTGTGCCAACGACAATGTTAGCTGGAAGTGATCAAATCTGGGATGTTCCGTGATGATTTTTAGCTTTTCTAACTATTCTTTTTAACATAGTTTCAGAGAAGACTGTTCTGAAAGTAAGGTTATGACAAACTACCAAATTCTAAGAAATAGCTGAACCATTCTGTTGGCCCTAGGGCCGAGGTTCTCTGACTTTAGAGTCACCTGCAGGGCTTGATGAACTAGAGATTGCCAGGCTCCAGCCCAGAAGGTCTGATTTTGTAGGTTTGGGAAGGGCCCGAGAGCCTGCATTTTGACCAAGTTTCATCAGACGAGGGTGATGCTGCTGGCCAGTGGGACCATGCTTGGGGAGGTATTGTAAAGTGTCCACTTCTTTCAAGTGGTGATAGAAAGACGCTTTAGCTTTGTAGCTCTTATCTCAAACTGTCTCGAACCCAGTTCCAAGCACCAGAAGCAGGTACTGTGATGCCTTGGCCCGTGGAGGCCCCATGCCCGGTGTTCAAGCCTGTACCCATTAGGGACAAACAATCCAATTCTCTGCATATCCCACTTCCTTGTCTGGATGACTGTCACCTAGCCAGCTGCTCCCTTAGTCTGTGAAGGATCCTTCACTCCCTTAGTCTGAGCTGATCATTGTTGCCTGGTTTAAACCTGCAAAAGGCAGCCTTTTGCCCTCACTGGGCACAAATGATGCTGCAGGCTGTATGGCCCAATGTTTCTTTGGCCCATGCAGTAATTGAGTTTTAAAAAATTAGTTTCCAACATATTTTGAAAAATCAAGTGATTTGTTTAAATTGTGGGTTTCAGACTCTTACAGAATGTTCGGCAGTAAGTAACTGAAGCTAGGCACCTTCCCAGGCCTCCTCTTAGGATCCACTTTCATCAATCCTAAGATGCCCATCGATTTCCAGGGGCCCCTAAGCATCTGACTTAGGCTCAGGTCATGATCTTGCAGTTTGTGGTTCGAGCCCTGCATTAGGCTTTCTGCTACCAGCACAGAGCCCACTTCAGATCCTCTGTCTCCCTCTCTCTGCCCTCCTGCACACATACATGTGGGTGCTCGCTCTCTCTCTCTCTCAAAAATAAATAAACATTAAAAAAATGCCCATTGCTTTCCATGTTAATGCTGTGAAATCAGGGTGTGACTAATCATCAATGTGCCTTTTAACTGTAATTGGAAAGCTTTTTCCAGCATGGTGGTATGAAAATCAATGATAGATCTTAAAATCCATGGCATTATAGGGGCATCTGGGTGGCTCAGTCAGTTGAGCATCCAGCTTCCATAGTTCGTGGGTTTGAGCCCTGCGTCGGGTTCTGTGCTAACAGCTCAGAGCCTAGAGCCTTGTCTTCAGATTCTGTCTCCCTCTCTCTCTGGCCCTCCCCTGCTCATGCTGTATCTTTCAAAAATTAATAAAACATTAAAAAAAATTTTTTTAATCCATGGCATTGTAGATTCCATGAATGTGATACCAGCTTGGCTCCTTGGAAGCTTTTGGATCCTTCCTCTGGTGTGTATGTATGTGTGGACATGTGTATGTATATATACATGAACATGCGTACATGTGTGTACACATGTATGTATGTATGTATATATGTGTATAAATATGTATGCATTTTCTACTATTTTCTGTTTCATTTAAAATAATTCATGAGGTGAAATTCACATAACATCAAATTGACTGTTTTAAGTGGAACAATTCAGTGGCATTTAGCACATTCACAATGTTGTGTGACCATCCCTTCTATCTAGTTCCTAAACATTTTAATGAGTTAAATTAAAACCTTATACCCTCTGCCCAGTAAGCAGTTTCTTCCCCTTCACCTCTGTTGTGAGCAAAATGACACAAAGACAAGACACACAAACGACAGACAAAGACACAAGTCCGGCCGGAGGGAGAAAACTCTCCGCAAGCCCCCTTGCGGTTTATTTTTATACCCCGGTAGCTGGATACATACTGAAATCTACGAAATGCATTCTTTTACCAAATAAGGACAAAAAGCCAAGCACATTCCAAGGACGGGGGGGAGCAAAGGGAGGAAGTGACCACAGCATGTTTACTAAGAGGCCTGCCCAGAACTCCAGCCTCTTCCTTATTTTTAAGGAGGGCACGTTCCCTCGTATGCGAGCGGATCATTAACCTTGGATATTGTTGTGCAGGCCTCTTGGCAGAACATCTTGTTTGCAAGCATGATCTGCCCATGCAGAGAGTCCCGTTTGCAGGCACATCTCTGCTTCCTTAACCATTCTTTCTCGTGGTCACTGTCGGGCTCCTACAACCTCTCCTCCCCAGCCCCAGGAAGCCTCCAATTTACTTTCTGTCTCTGTGGATTTCTACATTTTAGATATTTCATATAAGTGGAATCATACAATATATGGCCTTTTGTGACTGAATTCTTTCACTTAGTAATGTTTATGAGGTTTGTATGAATCACAGTTCTCCAGAAAAGCAGAACTAATAAGGTATGTGTGTGTATGTATGCACATGTAATAAGGAATTGGTTCACACGTTTCTGGAGGCTTGAAAGTCCTAACTAATATCTGCAGCCAGCAAGCTGGGACTCAAGAGATCTGAGGGTGTGAGTTCTAGTCTGAAAGACAGAAGACCCAGGAAGGGCTGATGCTTCAGTCTGAGTCTATAGACAGGGAAAAACTGATGTCCCAGCTAGAAGGGGGTCAGGCAGGAGGAATTCCCTTTTATTCAACAGAAGGTTAGGATTATTGTTCCATTCAGACTTCAGTTCATAGGATGAGGCCCACCAACATCAGGGAGGGCAATCTGCTTTACTCAGCCTATCAATGTAAATGTTAAGCTTATCTAAAAGTACCTTCACAGAAAAACCCAGAATATTGTTCGGCCAAATATCAGTGCACCCTGTGTCCCTGTCAAAGTGACACATAAAATTAACCATCAACAAGTTTGCCCCATGAGGTAGCATGTACCAGCACATTAATCCTCTTCATCCCTGAATAATCCATTTTATGTATATACCACAGTTTGTTCTTCTTGCTGTTGAAACCCTGTCAAATTATTTTTTTCTCTATGTATATTATATTGATATATGTCAATTATATATATAATTGACATATAACATTGTTTTAAGTTTAAGGTGTACAATGTGTTAATTTGATATGTTTATATACTGCAAAATGATTACCGCCATAGTGTTAGGTCACACCTCCACCATGTCATACAACTACCATTTCATTTTTGTGGTGAGAACATTTATGATCTACTCTCTTGTCAATGTTCAAGTTCATAATACAGAATTATTAACTATAATCACCATGCTGTACATTAGACCCCCAGAACTTACTCATCTTATAATTAAAAGTTTTTCCCCTTTGAGCAAAAATCTCCCCATCATCCCCCACTTCCTACCCGTGGGAACCACCACTCTACTACTTTCTGTTTCCTTGAATTCGGCTCTTTCAGATTCCACATATAGGTGACACCATACAGCGTCTGTCTTTCTCTGACTTATCTCACGTAGCACAATGTTCTCAAGATCCTTACATGTAATTGCAAATAGCAGGACTTCCTTCCTTCTCGTGGCTGAATAATATCCCATAGTGTGTGAGTGTTTATACATATATCACGTTTGCTTTATCTATTCATGCATTGATGGACAACTTAGGTTGTTTCCAGAGCTTGGCTTCTGTAAATATTGCTGCAATGAACATGGCAGTGCAGATATCTCTTCAAGATCCTGCTTTCAGTTTTGGATAATACCGTAAGTGGATTATATGGAAATTTTAGTTTTAAGTTTTTGAGGCACCTACATACCGTTTTCCATAGTGGCTGCACCAATTTACATTCCCCCCAACAGTGCACGGGGGTTTCTGTTTCTCCACGTCCTCACCCGCATTTATGTTTTCTCTTTTTGGCAATGGCCATTTTAATAGGTGTGAGATGATAGTTCACTGTGGTTTTGATTTGCATTTATCTTATGATTAGTGATGTCAAGTAACTTTTCATGCCCTTGTTTGCTATTTGCCTGTCTTCTTTGAGAAAAATGTTTTTTCAGGTCCTCTGCCCATTTTTAAATTGGATTGTTTGCATCTGGTCTATTGAGTTCCATTACTTCTTTATATATTTTGGATACTGATACCTTATCAGATATATGATTTTCAAACACTTTCCACCACTCTGTAGGTTGCCTTTTCATCTTGTTGATTGTTTCTTTTGCTGGGCACAAGATTTTTTAGTTCAATGTAGTCCCACTTATTTTGCTTTGTTTGTTGTGGTTTTGGTGACACATCATTGCCAAGACCAATGTCAAGGAGCTTTTTCTCTGTTTTCTTTGACTAGTTGTATTGTTTCAGATCTTTCACTTAAGTCTGTAATCCATTTGAGTTAATTTTTGTGAGTGGTATGAGATAAAGGTCTAATTCATTTTTCCGCATGTGTTATCCAGTTTCCCCAGTACCATTTATTGAAAATAATACCATTTCCACATTGAGTATTCTGGACTTCCTTGTCAAATATCAGTTGACTATATATACAAGGGTTTATATCTGGGTTCTTGTTTCTTTTTATTTGGTCTATGTTTCTACATGTATGTCTGTACCATACTGTTTTGATTACTATAGCTTTGTAGTATAAGTTTAAAATCAGGGAGTGTGATATCTCACGCTTTGTTTTCTCTCAGGATTTCTTTGATTATTTAGGGTCTTTTGTGGCTCCACATAACTTTTAGGATTGTGTTCTTCTACTTCTGTGAAGAGCGGCATTGAAATTTTGATAATGATTTCACTGAATCTGTAGATTGCTTTGGGTAGCATGGACATTTAACAGTACTAATTCTTCTCCTCCGTGAACATGGAATATCTATTTTTTTGGTGTGTCTTCTTTAATTCCTTTCATCAACATTTCATAGTTTTCAGTGTACAGAACTTTCACTTCTTTGGTTCAATGTATTTCTAAGTATTTAATTGTTGACCTGAGCCACCTAGGTGCCCCCCCCCCCTTCATTTTTTTAAGTTTGAAAAGTACTGGTGTTAAATGTTTGATTGGAAAAATCAATGAAACCCTGCTTTTTTGGAGGAGGTTTTTGATTACTGATTCAATCTTGTTATTAATCTGTTTAGATTTCTACTTCTTCATGATTCAGTTTTGATAGGTTGTATGTTTTTAGGAATTTATCCATTTCTTCTAGGTTACCAATTTTGTTGGTGTATAAATATTCACAGTAATCACTATTATCCTTTATATTTCTGTGGTATCAGAAGGTGTCCTCTTTCATTTTTGACTTATTTCAATCTTCTTTCTTTTTTTTCTTAGTCTAAGTTCTTTCAATTTTCATCTTTTTAAAAAATTAGCTTAGTTTTGTTAGTCTTTTCTATGATTTCTCTGGCCTTTATTTCATTTACTTCTGCTTGGAGTTTTGTTATTCTTTCTTTCTGCTAACTTTAGGCTTAGTTCTTTTTTTTCTAGAGCCTTTACAGTATAAGTTTAGGTTGTTTATTTGAGATCTTTCATTTTTCCTAAAAAAAATTTTTTTTGAGAGACAGAGTGAGCAAGTAGGAGATGGTTAGAGGGAGAGAGGGAAAGGGAATCTTAAGCAGGCTCCACTCTCAGCATGGAGCCCGATGCGGGGCTTGAATTCACTTCGTGAGATCACGACCTGAGTCAAAACCAAGAGTCAGACATTTAAGCAACTGAGCCACCCAGGTGCCCCTTTCTTTTTACCTAATGTAGGCATTTATCACTATAAAATTCCCTCTTAAAACTGCTTTTGCAGCGCCTTGTAGGTTTTGGTATGCTGTATTTCCATTTTCATATGTCCCAAGGTATTTTTTTAATTTCCCTCTTATTTCTTTTCTGGCTCATTGGTTGTTCAGGAATGTGTCATTTAATATATGAATAGATAGTTGCTATATGTTCTTGATAAGTAGACCCCTTTGTAATTATCTAATGACCTTTTGGCATACACAGTGATGAAGGTCAGTCATGGAGGTTTGAGAATGGCATCTTGCACTTGTACAGCTGCAGAGACATAGGCTGGCTGCTGGTGTGGTTGGCAGGCTCTGGTGGGAGGGGGCGGAGAGGGAGCTAGGAGGGACTCCAGTAGTTTGTATGTGCAAACACAAGTACCTGGGGGCAAAAGCTGGTAGAATCAGGAGGGGTTCTACCACAGCTGTGAAAGCCGCTGGGTTTGTCTATAGAGCACTTCACTGTGAACCACAATTGCGCCTGCTGCATGGCTGCTACTGGTAGACTCTTCTTTTCTTTCTGGTTCCTAGCTATCTCTATACAGCTCAGCTTTGCTGGTCTGGGTGCAGTGAAGTCCAAGTGGGACTTTCGTGTGGTGCCCTAAAAGACTGGGGTCACTTGGGGGTTCCATCTTGGTGCTGACAGTGCCAGGCTGGAGAATGGGATGGTGCAACCAAAACGAAGATGTCTTCCTTCTCTTCTTGGATGATTATTCTTAGGATTTTTGTTCACTGTGTTGCTGAAGTTTAAGAAGCAGCTTTCCCAGAACTGGATAGCTCATGGATAGCTAATTGTTGATCTTCGTGGGGGCAAAGAGGCGGGGGTCTCCTATACCTCCACCTTGATGACATCACAACCAGAGTTTGTTTCTTGTTCTGATATTTAACCAAAAATTTCTGGACACTGTGATAGGCAGGTGTATTACTGGGTGTTGACAGCTCAAGCCAGGAGTCTGCTCACCCCCTTCTCTGCCAGCTCTTCCTCACCATGTGGCCCAGGGCAAGGCAATCCACTCCTCTGACTCTCAGTTTCCCTTTCTGTCAAATGGAGGTCAGAACAGAGCCTACCTCTCGGAGGTCTCAGAACTGAATCAGGTGGTGCATATAAAACATTTAGCACAAAGGCTAGTACACAGCAAATGCCCTCAATTAGGCCAATGTTGTTATGCTGTTACCTGTTTTCGAGCCTCTGACCTTTTATTGTTAGGAATTATGTTAGCAGATTATCTAATATTTGATTCTTTACGATGAGAAATGTGAAGCATAAAAAGGTCAACTGAGGGAACTGCTTGGCTTACTGTGAAAAAGAGACAAGACCAAAAAGCATTCTGGAAGTGACCCCTGTGGCTGTATATGTCTGGGTCAGTTTTCTGCTCAGCCAGACTCTTATAAATTCATACCTCAGGACAACAAATGCATTGTCTGCTATGCCATGCTCATCTGGATTAATTTAATATACTCAGAAACTTGTCTATATTTTTTTATCCTCAGTCTTCCAACAAATCCATGTCAAGCTGCTATTTTAATCATTGTAAGTAACACCTGGCCTTCGTGTTATGTTAGCTTCTACACCCTTCAGTTGGTCCAGGAGGAGGATGAACACCACTCCCTCATCTTGGAGCTGATCTGAGAGACCATGAGCCTGAGAGACCATGAATGGAGTCTTCACCATCTCCCTGATGACTTTGGGATAAGGCCAGACTTAGGGCAAGTACTTGGCAGCTCATGGGGAAGGAAAGGTGTTTGAGCCTGGGCAGCACTGCTTCCTCAGGGGCCATACGCATCTCTGGGGATGAACGTCTACATAACGTGGGTAGTTGGGAACTCTGGGCTGAGTTGGAATGGCTTGGCTTCTCTCTTTTCTTCTCCATCTTCAACCACTGAATACTGGCAGGTCTGGAGGGGCCCTTTCAAGCCATGTGCCAGGCAGAATTCTAAGAGGGGCCCCAAGGTTTCCTAGCCATGGTATACCAGTGCTGCATAATCCCAGGGACTGTGAGCAACTCCCATGATTAGGTTATGTCATATGTCACAGTTGACTTTGAGAGAGGAAGATTATATGGTAAATCTAATCTAACCACACAAGCCCTTTAGATTTGGGTCTAGAGGCTGGCGAGAGAGAGGGAGTCAGAGATTCAGAGTGAGAAGGATTCAATGTACTATTGCTAGCTTGAATAGCTATGAAGCAAATGGGAACTCTAACCACAAAGAACTGAATTCTTCCCATAAGACACAGCTGGAAAGCAGACTTTTCCCTAGAACTCCCAGATGAGAACTCAGCCTGGCTGACACTTTAATTTCAGGATTTTACCTGCAATCCACTGAGCAGAGAATGCAGCCATCACGTGCTGGACTTCTGACTTACAGAACTGGGAGCTAATGTGTGCTATTTTAAGCTGCTAGCTTTGTGGTGATTTGTTAAACACATTAGGAGACTAATAAAACCTTC